AGAGAGAGAGCTCATATTTATAGAGTGAAATGTGTTCATGACATGAATGACTCATCCTATGAGTCATGCAATGAATCATCAAATATCAATGATTAATCTAGTGAGTCATGCAATGAATCATCTTATGAATCATTACATTTCAAAACCATGTACTAATAAACCATGTGCTCAAATCATACCACTAAATGACTCATCTCATGACTCATTACACATGGTATGTGTATTTCATAAATAAAAATACCAAATCAATATTACTAATACAGTATTTCATAAATATGGTATATAGTATTATTCCAATCTTTAACTAATTAGTCACTATATGACCAAATAAATCAAGAGTTGACCAAAAGTCAACTGTTGACCAAAAAGTTAACTTTATGGGGAAAATACTGGAATTCATTTCCTAAGCACATAGCATTGTGATTTTACTGATATACATAACCGTTTATGTGTATTCGGAAAAAATTATATATGCGTATCAATCATACGCATCACTCCATAAATTGTGTTTCATAGGATTCAAGTACGCGCTTGGTGTGACTCTAGGGCCCAACTTAAAAAACTCGGTAGTGGATCATATCCATAAGTACAGCAGAGGTGCTAGCTACACATGAAGACCACCCGGGTATAAGTTGTGATAAAGGTCTGCAAGATGCTTATCCAATTTATCAGAACCACTCAATGATAATACCGTACAGTCCGGTTACTTCGTCAAACCATGTCAAACTATAGAGCCTAGGGTATGGCAAACTGTCAAACCCTAATAGCTTGATTAGTGTTTATTGATATTAAACTCATAACCTATAAGATCAAACTGACACTCAGTATCTTATTCACCTTGGCTAAGGATTTCCAGGCTATAGTTATATCAAACAATCTTATGACATCAACCCCTATACTGGGAGAGACGAATCCCTTCTTGGCATCTCAATATCTACTTATGTCTCGGGATGTACCCAACAAGAACCGTTATGCACAATTCAATAAGAACTGTGGTTAGGTAAAAGTCTAAATACATCTTTACTGACATATAAGATATTGCACTCATGCCTCAGGTCAAGAGACTACTATGTACTATATCACTTGAGAACTTCTATTTGACAGTTAAGTATATTACGAACTAGATGTTCTCGGCGAGTCGTTCAGTCAACTCATTCACTAATGAGTCACCTGTATACTATATCTTGATGTCTCACATCAATGATCTAAGAGATTGATCATCTCCTTCAAAAGGAGAAATAAAGAAAACACTAGTCTAAACCAAAGTGATGATGTCCTATCTCAACACTTCATCAACTAGGAACATTTTAGAATATACGTTACCGACTAATCAGATCTCTTCATTACGATCACTATCCGAAATGTCTGATAGTCTAGTATTTATTCTAAGGACATTATCTGTATTTTTAGAACATCAGATAAATCTGACCAAAATAGCATATTATCATTTTGAACAAGGATGTTATATACATATAGGTCCTGTTACAATATATAATAATTACCTGCAGGGTACCTATATCTAACAAACTCCCACTTACACTAAGGTCAATTATTATAGTATCTAATACCCAATAGCTCAACAAGTTTCTCAAATTGTGAACGAGCAATTGCCTTTGTGAATGGATCTGCTATATTATCTTTTGTGTCTACTCTTTCAATCTTGATCTCCCGGCGATCAACTATCTCCCTGATCAAGTGATACTTCCTCAGAATGTGTCTGGACTTATGGTGAGATCGGGGTTCCTTTGTTAGAGCTATTGCAGCATTATTATCACAGTATAAAGGTACTGGATCTTTAATGGTGGGAACAACTTCCAGCTCTAAAAGGAACTTCCTCATCCAGACAGCTTTTTTAGCTACATCATTGGCTGCAATGTATTCAGCTTCCATAGTCGAGTATGCTACTGTATCCTGCTTGGAACTTTTTCAGCTGACAGCCCCTCTATTGATGGTGAAAACATATCCTGATACAGACTTACTATCATCGATATCGCTCTGAAAGCTTGAGTCAGAAAAAGCCTCCATTCGAAGGTCACTTTTACCGTATATCAAAAATAACTCCTTAGTCCTTTTAAGGTACTTAAGTATATTCTTGACCGCTTTCCAGTGCTCTTCTTCATGATTAGATTGGTATCTACTTACCAAACTGAGTGAATAAGTGATATCTAGTCTAGTACATAACATGGCATACATGATCGATCCTACTGCCAAGGCATAAGGAATTAGACTCATGTGTTTCCTCTCTTCATCAGTCTGGGGAGACATCTTTTTAGAGAGGGAGATTCCAGGAGATGCAAGTACAAAACCTTTCTTGGAATTTTCCATGCTAAACCGTTTTAGCACTTTGCCAATATATCTAGATTGCGATAATCCTAACATCCTTTTAGATCTATCTCTATAGATCTGAATACCCAGTACACAAGATGCTTCACCTAAATCTTTTATGAAGAATCTTTGTGATAGTCAAATTTTAACCGCTTGTAATGACGGTATGTCATTACCGATTAAGAGTGTATCGTCTACTTATAAAATAAGAAACAATATAATACTCCCAATTATCCTTTATACACACATGTCCCATTTATCCTTTATACACACATGGTTCATATGGATTTTTGATGAAACCAAACTCTTTGATAGCATCATCAAAACAGATGTTCCATCTCCGCGATGCTTGCTTTAGTCCATAAATGAATTTAAGCAATCTACATACTTTTTCACTGCTCTCACTAACTACAAAACCCTCTGGTTGCGTCATATATATGCACTCTTCTAAATCACCATTTAGAAATGCAGTTTTAACGTCCATTTGCCAGATCTCATAGTCATAGTGAGCAGCTATAGCAAGTAGGATCCGAATAGACTTGAGCATAGCCACTGGAGAAAAAGTTTCATCGTAGTCCAAACCAGGTCTTTGACGAAAACCTTTAGCTACCAGTCTAGCTTTAAAAGTCTCTACTTTTCCATCTACACCCAACTTTTTCTTAAACAACCATTTGCAACCTATGGGTATCACCCCTTTAGGAGCATTGTCTAATATCCATACTTTGTTGGTGTACATAGAGTCTATTTCAGATTTCATTGCATCATGCCAAGCAACAGAGTCCCTACTCTCAGAGGCTTGCTGATAACTTAAAGGTTCGTCATCATCTATGACGTGATCTAACATGCCACCTTCAACTAAAAAATTATATTGTGTCTTAGGTGCATGAGATCGCCTTGGATATCTGTGGAGTGGTTGAGGTTCTTCTGGTATAACTGAATTTGCTGGTTCCACTAATTTATCAGTAATATTTTGTATCTCTGAAATTTCTTCCAGTTCTACCATGCTCCCACTAATTTCTTTTTCAAGAAATTCCTTCTCTAAGAAGGTGGCATGCCGAGAAACAATTATCTTTTGTTCATCGATGTGGTAGAATTGATATCCAATGGAATTCCTTGGATATCCTACAAATTTGCATAATACTGAGCGTGCCTCTAACTTTTTGGGATCTTGCTTCTTTACATAAGCATGACATCTCCAAATCTTAATATAATACAATTAAAGGTCCGTCTTTCTTTTTTCACTTTTCTTTTAAGTTCATTTTTTCTCTTCTTTCTCTGGCTTTATTTTGCATGTTTTTCACGTGTGTAATGGATGTGGGTTTATTGCATAACGGTTGATATTATGGCGAACATTACCAAATTGATTGCTGGATTTTGTAACGGCTTTCTAAAACCCATATATAAGCAGCCCTTCTCATTCTTGAAATACACAACAATCTCTTCTTTCTCTTCTCTCGTCTGCTTTCAAAAGCGATTTTTGTCCATATTTTGGTGTTATTTTTGGGCAACATTCTTCATCCGAGCAGAAGCTTTGTATTCTCGCCCGAGTTCAGAGATCGGCCGATTCCGGGAGTTTTTACCACTAGGGGAGAGAGGCCAAACTTTCTGATTCATTTTTTACATTCGGATTTATTTGTTAATTTGCATGCTATAATTTAATAATATTTAATTTATATCGAACAATATTTACACTAGTGACACATGTGTATTACGTATCTATACGGATAACGCTAAGATTACTAAATGAAATTACACATGTAAGATCTAAGCAGCCTTAAAACTTTTTCACTAGGCTTATTCATATATTCTCATTCAATACTCTTAGGATTATCGGTGTAGATATCTATACCTTAGGATCATCTATGGAACTATACACTATCACAGGTTGTAGATAATCCATTTAGGGGCTGTTTGGTTGGTTTCCTAAAAATCAAGAATAGGAAATTGGGTCATGGAAATCTCAAAAACATCAAATTCCTCCATTTCCATCCCTAAAACTCACCATAACATCCAATAAAATATTATTTTTATCTAACAACTCATCCACTTTATCTAATAAAATATTATTTTCATCCATCAACTCATCTCATATCATCTCCTTAAAAAACCAAACACAAGAAATGGGTCACATCATCCAACTCATCTCATCTCATCTTTAAAAATCACTCACATCATCCAATACTATGGTGACAACTTATCTTATCTCATTAATATTTCATTTCCTCCCATTTCCTCAAAAAAAAAAAAAAAAAACCCAAGGAAATTGATTTCCTTAAGTGTGTGTCACATCATCCAATAATATAATGACAACTCATTTCATCCCATCTCATCTCTTATTTTTAAGAATGAACCAAACACAAGAGAAGAACCTATTATAAGAAATATGATTTTTTATAATTCATTTCCTTATTTTTTAACCAACCAAACAATCTCAAAACAAGTTTTCTTAAAAATCATCCACACCATCCAATAATATGGTAACAACTTATATCATCTTATCTCCTATTATATGATTTCTTTTTTTTTAGCCAAACAAACAGGCCCTTATTTAAAATCTAATAACCTAACAAAAAGAAAAGAAAGATTACGTATACCTGCGTATATTGGCAACTCTTTTTTGTCTGACTGATTAGCTCACGTCCTGCCCCGAAATCAATAA